CACACACACTTATTTTTTATTCTTTCTCTATTTCTTAAAACAAAAATAAAAACATTGAAATCGCAAAAAGGACAAAAAAAAAGTTTTTGAACTACGGGGACTAATTAATTTGTTTCTCAAATAAAGAGAGACTAATTTATAATCACTCTTGAATAGTAAACGACTTTGGCTTCCTTGCCAAAAATAAGAAAAAAAAAACATTGAAAGAAGGCAGGAGCATTAAATGCTAAATCCAAAAAAAAAAAAAAGACAAAAAAAGGCTCAAAAAAATTAAAAAGAAAATCAGTAAAGGGCAAAAATGAAATTTCTCAAATTCATTGAGTATCGAAAGAGAAATTAACAAAAAGGTATGAGGGAAAAAATCGAGCAACACAATGAATAGTAAATCTAAGTCTAAAACAATAGTAAACATCTCATTTCTTTTAGTTTTTTTTCCTAGTAATATGTATTACATTAAAAATAAAAGGTAAAAATTGTATTTAATTTCATAATTTTTAATCAAATTTTGTATTTCATTCGTTCTTCTTTATGTTTTTTCATAGATTTTGTTATTAAAAAAATATTTTTTTTATTCATTCATTTTTAAATAAAAACCTATAATAATATAAATATAAATTTTTAAAAAATATCTTAATATTTTTTTTTATAAAGCTGTATAGGAGAAATATATCAACAACCTATAAAATTAACAAATGAATCTTTTAAAACTTTTTAAAAATATATACATTTGATATATAGACACACACATACACAAACAAAACAATCAATAATATTAGGTATAAAAATATGTAGTTGAATTATTAGGTGATTCTTTTAAGATATTATTTTATTTAAAATAAATTAAATATAGAATGTTAAAAATAAATAATAGGAAATAGTTTGTGTTATATGTGTAAATCCAAAATTAATTTTTAATAAAATTAATGATATCAATACTTTTTTGTATACATCATTACATTATTACCATACTCGTATAAATTAAAAAATATGTTTAAAAAAAACTTAAGTTGTAAGAAATGTATTAAAGTTAATAAAGTGCAATGAAAATAATTTAAATTTTTATTCTAAAAAAGTTGATTATATAAAGAATAAGATAAAGAAACACGTGAATTCTATTATTTATTAAAAAAACATATTAAAAATTCATACACAGAGAAAGATAAATCATATTTATTAACAAATAAAATTTCATAAAAAATAAAAAATTTAATTTGATGAGAATTTTTATAATAATTGACAAATTTAAGAGATTAACTTTAATCAATAAAAAAATATAATATGATATATATGTTTGTTCTAGAATTTAAAAACATAAGAGACCAAAAACATCTTTTAAAAATACGAGGAACAAAAAATATATTTTGAAAAAATATGAGAAAAAATGGATTAATTTAAAAATACATTTTGAAAACATAAAGGACCAAAGAGAAATGAAGTATCAAATTTGAAAATAAATGCTCAAAAAGCAATGACAAAATTAAAAAAATGCCATTAAAAAATTATAAAAATTTCATATTGTGAATAGTGAATCAAGGCAAATGAAAAGTAAATGAATAGTATTTTATGAATAGTGAATTAAGGCGAGATGAAAAGTAAATGAATAGTATTTTATTATTCATCTTCCCCGGTTTCTTTGGTAATGTTTGATTTTTTTAATTAATGTAATTTTAACTTTAACTTTAGTTTTATGCATGTTTGTTATTTTATGTTTAGTTTAGATTTTTAAACTCAATTTTTTTTGTAATTAATATAAATTTTATTTTTATTTCAGTAATTAGATTAAGTAATCAATAGGTGGATAATTGTCAAGTCTCTTATATTTTTTTAAGGATCGATGATGGTTTTTTGACAAAAAAAAATGAAAAAAAATAAAAAAAAATCATAAAACCTTTTAACAAAGTCTCCTATCAAATATGGATCGTTGTTACTAAAAAAAATATTTTTAATAATTATGATGTTTTCTAACACACTCGGTTATATCGAAACTTAAAGTGGATTCGATATTTAAACTAACGTGTCTCTTAACGAAGGGGTTCGACAATTGTTTCAATACAATGCCACGTCCTAGAATAAAAAATTTAATTTGACTCATAAAACCTTTAACAAAGTCTTTTATGTGATAAGGACTATTGTTAGCAAAAGAAATCATTTTTAATAATCGGGATGTTCTTTAACACAGCGGTTGTGTCGAGACTTAAAGTGGATCCGATGTTTGAATCGACGTCTCTCCGGACGAAAGGATCCGACAATCGTTCAATACGATGTCATGTCTAAAAATAAAAAAACATTAATTTAACTTGAAAAAATGAAGTTTGAATGAAAAATAAATTGATATAAATAAAAAACTTTAGGAGATGAATTTAGGACTAAATCATATATGGTACTTTTCTTAGGAAAAGGCATATTTGAGTGATTGATATATTCACAAAGCGTAATTAATTCATTACCTTAGAATCTCCGAACTAGTGCTTAGTTTAAGTTATTAGTTCCTTCGGTATTATGTGGTGACTCCAAACTTATAAATAACTCTATGAATAGAAAAAAACCTTAAATTTTTTGGAGTTCCATCCGATATCAAGCAACGACAATATTAATTAGTGAATATGACTTAAATAGATGGTGTTTGAAGGGAATTTGAAAGTGCAAATTCGGCCCTAAGTTTTTATTCTTATATATTATCTATTGTCGCAAATTATTATTTAGTCTCTTGTTTTAGTAAAATGACAAGAGAGAAAGTCCAAAGATACTTACTGTCTTTTATATTGAGTAATTGTGGTTTTTTTTTTTTCCAATTAATTATACAGTTCTAAGATTGGGTAAATTACAAAACAGTGACAACATGTAACCTCGACAAAGTTTGCGACGCAACGTTTTTTTGATGTAGTCTAGCAAGCAATCTAAACCAAGGAACTTTCTTGGCATGGGAGGTCGTCTTCTCAATTCTCAATCTGAGCCCGATCCTACTGATTCTTAATCCCTTGAATGACACGTGGAGCCAATAGAGTTCACCAAAAAAAAAAAAAAAAAGGCACCACTGGCAGAGTGGCTGTAAATAAGCGCTTGTAATCAACCTTTTCCCATGCCTTGCCCTCCAAACCAGAATTCGATAAAATCTACTGCTGAATATCCCTACAATGCACTGAACTAAATGATTAGGCCTAGTTTTTTTTTTTTTTTTTTTTTTTTTTTTTTTTCCTGAAATGCATCGTTTAGACTTTTCCATATCGGACTGCATTTTAGAAAACTGTTGGACGAAATTCACTTTTAAATCAAATAAAAAATGAAACTTTAGAGGAAGAAAAATATTTTTCGATTTAAAAGGCAAAAAACACTTGCCACGAAAAACTCAAAAAACAAAAGTGGTGCTATACTTCATTATTCTTATATGTATAAATATCAACATATCATTAAAATACTAAAAAAAATATTATTAGGAAATAATAAATTACATATATATCTTTATATCGTCATATAATATATAAAATTAATTAGTGCATGTAATGCTTTAATTCAAATAATATTGTTAGAAAGTACATTACAATACACAACATGTTATATTATACAGTGGTATACTTTTTAAATTATCTAAATTATATGAATAGGATATCATAGAAAAGAGATTTTCTTTCCATGTTCACCGAAGAACAAAAAAATATTCGATAGTTATAAAAATTCTACTATTTAAAAAAAATAATAACTTAAAATGTATTATTATTTTCCAATTTGTTTTCTATGCTATGGTCAAATATCGAAAAATGATTTCCAACTCACGATACAACAAATATCAGAAAATAATGAATTTTTCAAAAAATTATTTTCCTTAGAATTTACTTATAAGGGATGAATTGCCTGTGCTTATAGGTCCATGAATTGCCCACTAAATTGTAAGGAACTGTTCATGGCCTATATCCATACAAGATGGGGAAAGAAAGCCAATTTCTTGTGTTTTGTTATGGGTCGGGCATTGCCCAGGTAAGCAGTTCGCTAAATTAATTCGAACGCAGCCGACGACAATTATGCCTTGAAATGGAGCCCCGACTTGTTTAATGCCCGAAAAACCAATAGAACTAAATCGAGGATGGCAAAAGAGAAAGGCCAGAGCATACAATTTCACACAACAGACACTCTTATGCTGTCACTACACAGAGGGTAACTTTACACAGATTTGTTAAGAAATCAGATATGCAGTAACTTATAAGGGATGGGTCCAATGCTATCAACCTTCCCTTCTCGATTGATCAGACTCTTGCCTGTGCTTTCCAATGATGTTACTGGGATTTCTACCCGTGGATCCGGTTAGAAACTAATATTTTGTTTGGGCCTCCGGAGGCCCTGTTTTCTACCAGAAGACATGCGATTACACTGCATGCCTGAGTTTCAGCGGATCAAGCTCGTAACATGGACTAAGATGATGCAAAAATCTCTCCATACCAAACAGCCTAAAAAAAAAAAAAAAATCCCTATAAATTCATTAAAGGGGAATAAGCTCAAATCACTTGCATAAGTAATACACAACAGTAAAAGAGAAACCCTACCACTACATGAACCCGAAAACATACTCTTAAATCTTATAAAGTTAATATTGGAAAGCTCAAATTCTCTGCCACCACTGCAGATCACTTCTCCGATACCAGACACACCTCACACGTATAATCGCCATGGATAAGAAATTTGGAAGCCACTGAATGAAATTTTTAGTAGTTTGGAATATTTTCCACAGTTGACTAGAATTTTTTGAGAGCTCTACAGAGGCAAAGATCCAACTGTCCATTACAATTTGTTGCAGAATCCATTTAAATGTCCAGAGACCAAACCAACACTGTCAATGGATGCTCCTTGCACAAATTTTTATGATCAAACACACGGGGAATTTAGAACTTACAAATCTCAGACAATGTCATGCTTTCGTCCAATATGCATGGCTTCTAACTGCTGAAAACTCATTTGTCTAAATTTTTCAAAAGAGTTTTCGAAACTAACTGACAAATTGGAGAAACAAACTAACCAGGTCCCACCTTAGGAATGTCATAATGCTCACTTAGATTAGCCAGATATTGATTGAATTCCTGAATCCGATCACGATGAGATTTGCTGGCCATCTTAGCCATCCTCTGGAGATCAATTTTCTCCCACTGCAGGAGATATTGCTTCTCAGCTGGTGTAAGATGATCATCATACTTTCCAGTCTGCCCGTGTTCATCATATTTGCCTGTCTCGTTTATATCCTCAGCATGAACGATTGATAATGCTGTATTTCCATCTGACAAACTCCAAAATGAAGACATTTTGTTAGATAAAACAAATAACTCATGAATCAAGGCAATATTAACCGAAAAAATGAATGATTTAATGAAGATGATATCGTAGAATGCATAATGACATCCCAAACAATCACTGCATAAAACGGTAGTAACACATCCCTCTCCCCCCACCCCCCAAAACAATGTTCTCTCCTTCTTAGTTTCCATTTCTCTCAGCTCCCGCGCGGTCACGCCTACGAGGAAGCAATATAGCTTTATCTTGGTTAACAGCAATCTAGGAAATAACGTAAGAAATCTCAACCAAACTACATACCCATTTTGAATTTTGATAATTATTGGTCAGCAATTACTCGAATAATAATGCAAATCTAAACCGGGGAAGTTCTTGAAAGGCTATCCCCCTAACATCTGTTAATTTTGGGACTGGCTAAGCCCATCTAGAACTACCCTCTGCATTTTTCCACCCAAAAATTTTATCCATTAGAAATTAACAGATAAATGAAAAATAATTAGTACTGCCAACATGCCGCATTACATTCAAATCCTACAGTGATGTTCTGAATTGTAATCCCCGTACCCAATGAAATCGTCCAACGGTCGTCTCACGGCACATTTGACTCGTGAACTGTCAAAATCAGAGTAGTATTTATCAAGATAAATTTTTTGAGAATTCCAACTTAAAAAACATTTCTTCAAGCCTCTTAACGACCAGAATTGCCATCATAACAAGCAGACAGCAGTACCTAATTAAAGATCATTCCCGCAATATCTAATTGACTCCATTAACTACTTGTAGTAAATTATCCTCAATAGCCAAACTACTTGTTTTGAAGTTAAAAAGAGTTAGAAGTTAGTTTATCTTCTCTTTACGCTCTAGTAAAATTGCCAGAAAGACCACCTAAATTTTACTCGTCATTAAGGATTCGATGTGCATAATCTACATGAAAGTATCAAGCTAAAAAAAAAAAAAAAACCGTAATCAATCATGAAAAAAAAAGGAGGGTATGAAAAGGATGGGAATAACCAAAAACCTGCTGCATATTGATCAAGATCATGATGCTTCTTGTGACTGTGTTTCTTCTTCTTCTTTTTAGTAATGCCGCCAGCTTCCACGTCCAGTGCTTTACCCTTCAGCTTCAGCTTCCCACCTATCACGTTCTCGTATGCAGACATCACTCCGCCAATCAGGATTCACGACCAGCTATGATTGTAGTTTTGTTTTTTGTTTTTTTCGTTTTCTTTCTTTTCCGAAATATAAAGTCAAACGACAACGTTAGACAAGACAGTGGGAGAAGAATGTGAGTCGAATTTTCTGAGATTGAATTGGAACTCTGCAGAATCAAATTAAAATTGTGGGTAGGAGAGGGAGATTGGAAAGAGAGGTAGGTTCTGGATAGAAGTCGAAGTCTCTAGAACACGACTGATTTCGATAAGTGGGTGCATTAGAGGGAACCATATATGACATGTCCCTATTTTAGCCCCAACGAGGATCTTGCGCTTTTTTTCCTTCACCAGAAATATGCATATTATCATGGGTAAGCTTTATTTTTACCCTTGTAGATTCACCAGTGTTCCAACTCCATCCTTATATTCTAAAAATTTATAATCTTACCTCTGTGGTTTTTGGAAGTTCCAATGTATCCCCTAATCATTAAATTAGTTAGGGAATCTCTCTTCTTCTTCTTCTTCTTCTTTTTTTCCATCTTTTTACGCGCTTTTACTCATTTTATCTTCTCTTATCTTCTAAAAATGCTAGAGAATCTGAAAAAAACATAACTCAAAAGGTGGGCTTATTGTTAACTTTTATTAGCTATTTAATGAATGGAATTAATATTTAAACTTTTTTTAAAAAAACTATAAGGATACTATTGAAATATTTTAAATCACAGAGATAGAAATGAAATATTGATATATAACTATCCATGGCAAAAATATGGTTTGCCCTTTAACCATTTTTTGAAATATTTACTCTTTTATGCTATGTTATTTTTATCGTATTGACCTGTTACTGTGAAAATATGTATTCAAATCGTTAGACTTTAATTTTTGCAAGAACTATTCCGCACATCCGGGATTGTGCTATCGGCTTTCGTGTTAGAGTGAAGTCAATCAATAATTTTTATGGTGAATAAGAAATTAAAAACAAATTTGATTGTATTTGTTATTTCAATTTTATTAACTAATATTCTTAAAATTTATTTTTTAATTTTAAACAATGTGACATATTAGATATATTATGTCATCTTAAAATATTGCATAAGATGGCATTTTAAAGCTTGCTTCGATCATTATTGATTTGAGCTGTTAAACAATTTTTAAAAGCGATGAGAAAATTTAAGAAAAATTAGATAAAATAATTCTAAAAAACTTGTCGTTTGAAAATTTCTCCTAATTACTCGTGTGTAAAAAGGGTTTGATTTTAGAACTTTTATATAAACCTAAAAGGTACGTATGTCATTTCAATGTTGGAGAAATTTCTCTGACTAAATGGTCTGTTTTTTCTAGTAAAAGATGGTTAATTGTCAAAATGACAAAAATAATATCAATTTATTTAGGTTATGTTTGGTGGGATTTATGCAAATTTATTTATTATTTTTAACTTTTTATCTAAAAAGGTCATAAATGTATTTGGTTAGAGATAATTATAATTTAATAAAAAGCTTGTTGTAAAATTGAGTGAAAATTTTACTTTAATAAAAAATTGAATTTTTTAACTTTTGATTTTAGATCCTAATTTATGTCAAATTTCTTTTTCAAATAAATTGTTTTGAGTAATTTTTACCCACCATACTTTTATTTTATTTTATTATAAATTATTTATTACAAAAACTTTTAAATCATGACTTGAAATAAAAAAATATTTTCCATAAATCATGTCAAGCGACATATTGAAATCAAAACTCATTTGAACTTGAGTTTATTCACATAAGCGATGGATATTAAAAACGGTCTCGTCTTCTTTAACGAAACCAATAGGTTCATCTAATCAAAGCCTTTTCGTTTCTAAGACATTAAAAGCCATGAAATTTGGTGTTGCTAAGAATTCTCTTAATAGAAAGTAAAAAATGGACGTCAAGTCTTGTAAAACCATGAAAACTCCCTTTAAACTAAATCGGGAAAAAAAAATCACCGACTCATCCTCTTTCAATCTGTAAAATTTATTTTCTTATTATGCTTTCGAGACCATTATGAAATTATAAAGGTGATGGCTTGAGGATTTCATTGTGACAAACGAGGTTAAGAAAGAGGACGGAGGATGGTGCGATTAAGAGTGATAATGTCACAGGTTGAAAAGTCTGGTGACAGAAAGTTGACAAGAAATAAAACTTTATTATCTTAATGGCTTGACTATACATGTAACACGAGACCACGAGATTACAAATTAACGAGGCAGCACAAATCAATCTAAAAACTCAAAAGAGACTGAAGAGTTTTTATAATAGAGCGAAACCCAACTCCCCAATAACTATTCTTCTGCGGCAACAACAAACAAAAAGGTTGAACCTGAAAAAACATATTCCAACTATTTGGTTGGTTTTAATTTTGCCTCTCAACAATCTTGATTTCTTAATGTGGGATCTCTATTAAAATTCCTTTAAAACATCGAATTTCTTGCAAAACAATGTTGTAAAAAAAAAAAAAAAAACATACAATGTAAATGAAGAATAAAGTTAACACAAAAATTCTTCTGCAGGCAAAATCAAGAATATTTGTCTAATTAGGAGCTATTTTTGAGGTTTTCGAAGAATAAATTATTCCCTTATCCCTTGTTTTTTTAAGGCAATTATAACTTAATTCCTAGGTTTTCAAAAACCTACAGTTCCGTCTTCTATTTTAATTATTCGTTTATAGCTTAGTTCTTTCTTGCCAATATACCATTAAGAATCTGTTATGATCGATCAAAAATTATTTTTAAAAAAAATTATTTTTAGTATTTTGAGCTGATAATTTTCACATATTATAATAAAAATTCAAAAGAGTTTCAAAAAATTTTAAGATTGAGAAGCATTTTAATGCTTCTTAAATATTAAATATTTACAAAATTTTAAAAATATAAAAAATAATTTAGAATGATCCCAGATTTTTTTAGAAATTTTTAAAAAATAATATAAATTTATCTGCTTAATCATAATATGATTTTCAAAATTAATCTATTTTAAATTTTGATTAAGTGTTATAGATTCAATTATATAATTATTTTGGGATTCATACTGCAAGTAAATAAATAAATATATATGATTTTTTTAGACCTTTTAAAAAAAATTGAAATCATTCTAAATTATTTTATATTTTTTAAATATTTAATATTTAATACAAATTAAAAAAATACTTCACAGTCTCAAAAAATTTAAAAATTATTTTTAAACATAAATTGAATTTTTATTAACACATGTAAAAAAATTTATCTTAAAATATAAAAAATTAAAGAAAATTTTTGATCCACGATGATGAAAAATTTAACAATGCACAGACGAAAAGGATAAAACTATAAACAAAGAATTAAAGTTGACGATATAACAGTAGTTTTTTGAAAACTGAGAGACGAAATAATAATTTACTCTTTCACTAAAACACAAACTGAAAATCTGAAATGGCCCCAAACGGAGAGAAAGAAAAGCGCCACTTGGCTCTCTGAGATGAACGGTTAAATCTAAATTGGATAAACCGCTAAACCTTTATCCACCGTACGATACCAATCCAATCCCCTCCACACCATCCGATCTCCCATCAACTGGGTCCCCGCCTAAATAACTAACCCCAAACTCTGACACTCAACAACACACGGCAGACGCCAAACCACACTCACGCAAACACTGCATTCAAACCAACTCGAGAACCTTCTAGGTTCTTCTAGAAGTTCATTTCAATGGCTGAGACCAAGAGATCCACTGGTACCGTCAAATGGTTCAGTGCACAGAAAGGTTTTGGCTTCATCGCTCCCGATGATGGTGGCGAGGATCTGTTCGTCCACCAGACCTCGATCCAATCTGACGGCTTCCGTACCCTATCAGACGGACAGCCAGTGGAGTTCTCCGTCGATTCAGGAGAAGACGGCCGCACCAAGGCCGTTGATGTTTTAGGCGTCTCTAGATCTCGCCGTCCTCCTCGTGGTGGCCGCGGTGACGGTGGCGGGAGAGGTTACTACGGCGGAAGAGGACGAGGGGGCGGCGGTTATGGAAGAGGCAGCCGCTCAAGTGGCAGAGGATATGGTGGCGACAATGGCAGTGGCAGTGGTGCGTGTTTTAATTGTGGACGGTACGGTCATTTAGCGAGGGATTGTTATCAAGGTAGCGGTGGCGGTGGGAGATATGGTGGCGGTGGTGGGAGATATGGTGGTGGTGGAGGCGGAGGGTATTATGGTGGTGGTGGTGGAGGTGGAGGTGGAGGATGCTATAATTGTGGAGAGGAAGGGCATTTTGCGAGAGACTGTCCGAATACTGATAACAAGTGAGAGAATGTGGGTGGTTTCAGTTAATGATCACACGAGCGCGTTGGTTGTCAATAATTCTTGTGGATTGTTGCATTTTCAATGTTTGGTGATTGCTTCTTCTTCTTTTTCCATATTTTTTAAGGATGCCAATTAGCATAGAAGGTGGAGCAGAATTGCTTTCTGTTCTACTCATTTTTTTTTTAATCTGGTAATGTTGGTAATTATTTGCATAAGATATAGTTTCTTTTCTTTTTCATCGGTTATTGTTTAACATGAAATTGATTATATTTTACCTGTTTTATATGAGATCGGATAATTTAGGTTCTTTTTATGGTTATTCTAATTGTTTATGAGATTAGTAAAGTTGGTAACGTTGCTTAGGTTTTTCTTTTTCTTGCTATGGTCAGTATTGAACAGCCGATTACTGTCTTCGTAAACTTTTCAATTTCAAAGCTGAATAGATATTATCAAGATTGGGGCATGAATGCGATAGTCACTGTTTGAAAGTGATGGGATGCGTTTTTGGATTTCTCGGTTTCATTCAGTTTTATATGTGGACAAGATAGCAATAGTTATCTTAATACCAAGAATATCAAGGAAGTCGTACGTATTTGGTGAACGCGGGGTGAGTCAGGTTCTCATATATTTTCTTCTTTAATCTTATGGCTAGAATTTTTGTAATCTTATCCAAAGTTTGGTAGCCTATGGAAGGTTGAAATTGTATTTGTTAAGATTGGAATCATCTTGGGGCTAGACCAGCCACTCACTGAAGGGTCTTGTGTTGGTCTTATCCTTCAACTCCTGTTTTTGCTCCATGATATATCCACAGTTTTGTTGTCTATGGTCATCCTTTCTCAAACTTCTATGACTGATTATGAAAAAAAAAATAAAAGAATGATATCAAATGAATGAATGCAATTATTACGAAAGAAGGGTATAATGTTAAGGGGATTATGTATTCTTTTTGAGCTGTAACATTTTGTAACAGTAATAACTCAAACAGAGAATGATGTTGCATGTAAGTTCTAAAAGTTTACCTGTTCCTTGAAATTTTTTGAGTGGCAGCTGGTTTCAAGGAAGGCCCAATTTGACAGTTTTGCCAAGTTGTGAAAGCCAATTCTCTTGTATTTTGGGCAATTATTTAGGAAGCTCTGCTATATAGCATTATCGTTTTTATCAGATTCATGAGGATTTATATTAGTAGGAAAGTTTAACATGTGAGTCAAATGAGCTCTTGATGCTTTTGAATTGAGGACAAAAGCTTTTCTCTTCATCTTCTATTGGTTTCATTTTCTCTTGTGGGTTCAGGTGGAGGTGGATGTTGGGTAGATGAGCCTTGTATAGCCATAATCTGAATGCAATGTTTCACTCTGGCTGTATCATGCAGTTTGTAATGTTCTGTCTTCTGACTTGCTAATTTCACCTCATGATGTTATTCATTGAGATCTATATCTAGTGGAAAATAATTGTCCGACTTGTCTCAAATTATTGCTCTTTTAAAACTTGGAGCTTTTTAGATGTTTTGCTCATAGTTTTGATGCATTCTCAAGGAATTCTCGTAGCTCACCAGCAGTTGTCTTTTTCTCCATGGCTTGTAGTTTGAGTTACCTTTCGTTTTTAAGATATCTGAAAAATTCTCTCAACTCTAGGTGTTTCTTTGAAGTATGCTTTCATTATTGGCATTGCTGGTGTCATAGCTATCTCCTTTGAATTCTGTTGTATTGAATAGGCATAGCTTGTCAATCAATTTTGCATTGTGCCATGTCATATGAATTAGGCGACCAAACATGTGTTAATGTTAAAAGTTTTTTAGGTCCTATTAATGAAATCTTCTGGAAAAAAAAAAAAAAAAGGAGAAGAAGAAGAAGAAGAAAGTGGAATGTACATCTTATGTTTCTTTACTTGCTTGTTTGTTTTCGGTAATTTGTTGTGTTACTGATTTACAAATATTAATTTCTCTGATATCTGAGCGTTTGGAGTTCTGATGAAATTTGCAGTGCATCATACGTTGTATGAAACATTCGGATGCTGTTTCTTTGAATGACGAGTCATGCAAGGATTGCTTGTATGAAATGTTTGATGTTTTTTTAATAGATCTCTAACGAGCCTGGTGGATCCTTGTTTCTCTTATCCTCCACTACCGGCCCGTAATTTATTTATTTTTTCGGTGAGCAACCTTGGTTCATGGTTAGCAACTTAACATACTGGCCTGTCTTTGAAGCAATCCCCAAGTTAGTAGCATGCCCAGCATGTCATTTCCACTCCATAAAAGACGCTTTCTTGGATGATAGGAGTTCTCTTCTGGATTCACCTCCTGGCTAAACGTGAGCAATTCTGGTATTTCTGTTAATGGTTGTCTATTAGTATATGCTTGCTTCTCATTGATTAATTTACTGTCCGATGCATATCTTAAATCTCACGGGTAAGTATCTGATCTCTCCGTCCTGAATTGATTTTTCAGAAATCTTTTTGGTTATGCCACGTCATGTTGCTAGTTCAATTCTTCTATTTATCTACCCGGGCAAATTTATACCATTGACTAGCGAGTTCTATTGTGATAGAAAACCTCAAGATCATATATTCATAGAATTCCTTGGGAATGCATGTAAAATACGAGGGACATAGATGATTCCAAACATAGCAACATCTGCAAGTTGCTAAGGTTTTGCTTTGCTCTAGTTTGAGTAATTTGAGTTTTGTAGATTCACATATACTGTTCCAGCAGTATGAAAATGAGTGGAGACAACAGGGTTGACTTTAGAATTTTTAGGATGGTCGCATTGACCTAGAATATTGATACGAGAAAAGAAAAAGGAATTGAGACTACCTGTTTTGGCTTCTTTAATCTATGCGTTGAAATAGCTATTGCAATTTCGCTGCCCTTTTACCTAGAATTAATTATCCATTTCAGTTCCATTTTTTAAAGGGTGAAGTACAAATTCGTTCCAAATTATTATACGTGTCCCAATTGAGTTCCCCATCAATTGATCGTCTCAATCGACTCCCTCATCTATTGAGGTTGGTTCAATTAACCTCCATTGTTATCAAATTTGATGGCTTCCTAATCATTTTGGCGTTAAATATTCATTTAACAAAGATCTTTTGGCGTTAAAAGTTATTCATGTGATGCACTTGCATTGTAGAATAGAAAAAGAAATTATAGATCATTTTGTGTGTTAAAAGGACATGGATATTATTTTTTAGCTCCAAAATATGTTTTAGATCCTCGTTTTGCACTAAAATCAGGCTGATTCGCATTCGTAGATAATATGGGTTAATTGAGCAAAATTACAATACATGGCGTACTCAATTGGGACATTCGTCGGATGGAGGCTCAATTAGGATAGAAACAATTGCCTGGAGGCGCATTTGCCTTTTCCTTCGTTTTAAATTACTCAACCTGGATTCTCCTTTTCAGTCATCAACTTGAATAACATCTTGAAATGTCTAGGTTGATGAGGTTGTAGATTCTCAGTAAAATGAATGGTTGGATGGTTTTTTCCTTTGGTTAATCGTGTGGTAATTGTATATTCTTATGTTGTGTTCTGTCAATATCTGCAAAACAAAGTTTTTTGAATTTAATTTTTTTTTTATGAACTTTATTAGGTTTAGTCGTGTATATTTAATGTATGCGGCTTAATTAAGCTTGTGGTGAGTGTTTAAATATATGTAATAAATAAGATATACAATAACTATTTTTGTTAGATTAGAGAGAAAAAAGAACCTTTTGTGGATGTTCTAACCACTTATTTGCAGGGAGATTTGTAGTTGAGGAACCTACTCTTTTAATGGGACTGTCTGTCGTCTTATCGTGGTCATTAATCGCTGAGGTTTTTGTAGTATGTGAGGGATGTGTCTTTTTTAAAGTCTTGCGCTCTGTCTGGTGGGGCATGGTGTTCTTGACGACACGAGGGCATCCGATCGTGGTCGTCTGGAGGAGAGGATGTTTTTCTAATGTCTTGTTGTTGGGTTGGGTGATTTATTAGTACATCGTAACTTGTATTGGACTAATATTAGAATGGCCCATTAGTTCTTGATATATCATAGGTCATTCTTGACTAGCTTTGTGCATTTCAATACTTTGATTTTGAATATGGTTGCTAGCTTGCTCTCATCCTCAAGTGGGTATTAAATGCTTTGTAAGAGTATGCTGAAAGGAGGGCTATGTGAGAAATATGTGGTACTAATTGGGCCATAAAGAACAAGGCCCGGTTACGGTCACATTTAAGGTGCGATGGGAAGATTTTCCCGAGTTCTTTCCTTGCGTCCTCTCTCTGCTGTACTTATTGACCTTTATTAGTACGGTGGTTTGGACACTTGTGGGGCCCTGAGGTTCGTAGTTCTCCTGGTATGACTGCGCTCAAGGTGTACCAGCCTGGGGTTTGATTCGTTGCTTAACCCTCTGTTTGACAAGGTGGAAAGTGGGAGAAAGGAAATGAAAAGTTTTCTTCGTTTCATTTTCAGAAGAAAGCTGAAAAAAAAAAAAATTAAATAAAACTAAAAATGATGGGATTCATTTTTCTCTCAAAATTAGAAGAAAATGGAAAGAAAAACGAAAGGAAACTGATTTGTCTCATTTTTCTTTCAGTTTTGCCCTTGGCAGGCGTTCCTTCTGTTCCTCTTACCTGCACTCTCTCGCTCTCACTTACCAACAGCCCATCATAAACTTCTGCAAACCCCATTTTCCATTTCTGTCCTTGTCTGTCGTTTCCTTGCTATTGCTCAGCCGATCTCGTCTTTACCTCTGCAAACCCACTCCCTCTCTCTCGTTGAATCCGTTACCAAAACTTCTCTGAAATTGAGAAGTTAATGGTCCAACTGGTTTGAAAAGCTTTTTTGAATAAAGTATTTGACTATTTCACCATTTCTATGTGCTACTTTGACGTGTTGAATTTCAAATGGAGAATCAAACAAAATGTTATCACAGTGGAGGAGCAATTATTGATTATTTAATAAAATGTGATTCACACGTCATCTACGCTTATGGTGGCCACCAAATATTGTCAGTATTCCATGAAAAA